AAAAGTTGGACTTATACCTGTGATGATGGCAGTAGTCCATCCTATAGCTTTGATATGTCTTTGTAAGATTCTCAAAAGCTTAAATATGCATATTCGAGGTCAGCCTAGTTATTCTGTTAACTTGAAAATTCGTTAGTATATACTAACTAATATCCAAAATATGTGAACTAATATCCAAGTCTGCTGAGTATCTAGATAACACATACTAGTATTCAAAACATCACAAACTAGTATCCAGATAGCAGATACCAACTAATATCCACAATCAACCAACTAGTATTCAATATGGATACTCTTATGTGTTATCTGGATACTCTTAAGTGTTATCGGGATACTAATTATGTGTTATATGGATACTATTATGTGTTGTCTAGATATTAGTTTGTGAATTTGGGATAATAGTTGATTCATGGTGGATATCAGTTAACAAACTTTGAATACTAGTCTGTGCTCTCTAGATACTTTAGTACTTGGATACTAGTTCATGTATTTTGGATATCAGTTAGTATCTGCTAACGAATTTTCAAGTTAGCAGATTAACTTTCTCCATTCGAGGTGACTAGGTAATGGATTTTGCTCTAGCTTTGGTGGTTGAATTCTTGATGGAACTAGTGTCTTGCTAGTTTGAACCTCCCCTTCGTCCTCAATTTGCATTGGCAAAGCCTCAAGCAATTGTGTCCTTTTTGGCACGGTAAGCTTTTCATTTTGAAGATCATCATCAAAAGCATCAAGATCAGAATCAGAATCATTATTAAGAACATTCTCAGTACATGATTCTATCACATCCATAACACATACATGATCATAAGAGTCAGGATACTTACTTGATCGGTAAACATTGAATCTTACCTCTTCTCCACATACTCTGAAGGTAAGTTCTCCCTTTTGGACATCTATAAGTGCGCCACCTGTGGCAAGGAATGGTCTTCCAAGAATGAGAGGCACCTCCCGGTCTTCATCCATCTCTAAGATCACGAAATCTGTCGGGAAGCTGAACCTTCCCACTTTGACTAGCATGTTCTCCACCACAACTTTTGGAATCTTCACTAATATGTCCGCCAATTGGAGGGTGATTCGCGTTGGTTTAATCACATTTCTCAACCCCAATATGTTGTAAACTGAACAAGGCATCAAGTTGATCCTCGCTCCAAGATCACAAAGGGATTTAGTGAAAACCTTATCTCCAATGGTGCAAGGAATGGTGAAGCTCCCCGGATAGTCTCTTTTCTCCGGTATTTATTTTGAATCACATCACTACAATCAGAGGTGAGGGTTACCTTCTCAATATCGGATCACTTGCGCTTCTTTGTGAGTAACTCCTTTAAGAATTTGGCATAGGTAGGCATTTGTTTCAATGCTTCCGCCAAAGGTATGTTGATATGAAGTTGTTTGAAGAGATTTAGGAACTTTTTGAAGTTTGGGTCTTCCAAGAGCTTCATCAACCTTTGAGGGAAGGCTGCAGGTGGTTCATAAGGTTTAACCACCTCATCTTTTGTTTTTTCATGTTTTGGAGGTGCAGTTGACGAATGCATGTGCAATGGCAAAGTGCTTGCATTCTGACCCTACACATCTGCTTTTGCATTTTCTTCAGCAGAGTTTTCTGCATCTTCCCCATGAGTGGTTGCTTCTTTCCTTCGGATCTTCTAACTCCTTCCCGCTTGTTAAAGTGACGGCTACCATCAAATGAATGAAAATAAAAGAAACGGCTTGATAATAATACAAGTACGGAAGGTTTAAACGGATAAAATATGCACGAGTACGTATACGTGTATTAAACGGAGAATTTACTATCTATGCTTATCTAGGCTAATTATAGGGAGAACTTTGAACTGTAGGTTGGGCCAAGTGAATATTGGGGCGTAAGGCTTCGTGAGCTTATGTAGCGTGCATAAACTGATATCTTGTTTGTGGGAGTCGTCAAGTCCATCAGAGACACTGGCCCAGTAACCTTTTGTTCCACACTTTGGAGAGGTGGGATATAGGACTCTTGATTTATAATCTCGTTATTATGAATCGTTATTATGGACAAATGGATTGAATCTATAAGTTCGTAGATTGAAATGGATTGAATCTATAAGTTCATAGATTGAATTTATAAATTTGTAGATTGGATTGGTGAATTTATCATATCATACACATGGGTGGACTATTTCTTTCTTTTTCTTTCATCTCATGTGAGATTGAATCAAATGAATTTATGGATTGATTCGTTGGTTCAAATGATATCTAAATTTTAGATCTTGTTCTTATGAAAATTCTGAAAGTTTGGAACCAAAATGTCATTAAAAAAGCTTAAGTTTTGAAAAAATTATTTCCATTAAAAAAAATCGAAGCTTAGGTATTAGATTGTATAGCATAAAGTATAAAGGTTCTAAAAAATATTTTTCAACAATTTATGAAACCACCCATCAAACAGTTCCAACAAATTTGAATTAAATGGATTGGACTAATTGATTATTTTTGTGAATGGATTGAATTGATAGATTAGATTCAAATGGTTTTGGTTGCTTCTACTTGCAATAATAAATGCCTTATCAAGTTGCAAACATAAATGAATTTTAAGCATTGTACATAGACTTGTATTTCCTCCTTAACTAAGTGTATCTCCGCTTCACTGTATAAAATATTATGAGAAATGATAAGAGTACAAAATCCGGAACTACTAAATCTACAAAACCACATATCTTACGACGTCTGATATGGATCATACCATCCTGATACGATCGTATTAGGGAATAATATATTTCATATCAGAGTTGGTACGTAAGACGCGAGTTCTATAAGTTTTACAGTTCATGAATGTTGTACCACATGCCATAAAATATAAAAGAAAAATACGTGAATTTCAGACTCATCGACTTCATTATCACAATAATAGAACTCATTTGGCGACCAAGCATCTAAAACATTATGTGATTAGTTACAATAATCCCGTTTGACTTAGTTGAATCAAACTAGATGCCTAGATTTCTCGATTATCACAACTCAAACTTGTGGGTTAGAGGAACTCCCATTAGAAGAACTAGAGGCCATATGAGGTTTGTTTACCATCATAGATGTATAAACAAAAGAGGACTGTGGTGACCACAGTCGCGGCCCTTGTCCTCAATTGTCTTCTATTTTGAACTCCAACATACATGCCTGCCTCCTTCACTTTGCTCCAGAGGATTGGGGAATGGTTCACTACTATGCCTCTCTTACCTCAACCACACCACAGAGGGGACTAAGCCTAAATAGTACCCTGTTCAGGAATCATAAGATCACGGATTTCACCATCACATCCTATGAATTCAAGCTTCATTCACAGCATCAGCTTCCATGGAGTCAGCAAAAGTATGCACATTGCACATCTATCTATGGATATTGGCCTGAACTGAAACCGAAAACTGAACTAGACCATTCTCCCACTCTTGAGTGGCTTGCTCGCAAACAGATCCTACCTAGAAAGGAGAAGCCTTTGAACCAACCCAGATGCTATTACCCTTTGTAGCTAGGGCATTCACTCTGCAATATCTCATTCAAATCGTAAACATAAACTACAGAAGCATCCTCGAATTACACTAGGTTTCACTCACCACACAAAGAGAAAAACCACGAATTGGCCATTCTAGATGTAACAATTCAAGAAGCATTCATTCTTTAGAACTGATTGAACTCGACAATACACCAACTCCGCATGAAGTTTCAACTAAAGCTCACTTTGGAATTATGTATTCATTCTCTCAAGTGTCAACATATAAAGTCATAAACGACGGTAAATTGATTCTCCTTAGCCTATATCTATCTATATGAGGTTCTTTCTAGGGTTTCAATCGAAAGAAAATAAAACCTAAAGAAAAGCAATTAAGAGCGAAATCGAAGACCTTGGATGGAGTAAACGCAGCAGCTAAACATCATCTTTGGGCTTCCGGTACTTCTCCTCGACGACTTTGGCGGTGAAGAGGGCGGAGTGGACGACCTTCTTGATGTTAGGAACATTGTAGTTTTGGGCGATGTAAACCCCACACGTCGTGCCGACGAGGAAGGAGAAGTAGCTTCGAATTAGTCCCATCGATCAGCAGCCCGATGGATTGGTGAGGAGAGGGGAGAGACGGTAGTTCGAATCGGCCGGCGACACAAAGATCTGAGCTTCTGTACAATGTACTCGTGGACACGGGAGTCTAGGTCGAGTGGCGGTGACGACGGAGTCTCCGGCGGCGAAGAACGAGCAAGGAATCGGGGGATCTGAAAGGGCTTAAGAGGGATGAAAGAAAAAAAGGCTAGTACACTGTACAAGTAATCAAACGGAGCCGGGCCGCTTACTTACTTCCGGCCCACTCCGCAGTCCTACCGGCAAACAAACTGCTTGCTCTATCCTTTTTTTTTTCCTTCATTTTCCGCCTTTGTTTTGTTGACACGTCTTGTTTTCAATTATTTATTTATTTCGATTTCCCGCAAAAATTGATTTCCGTCCCGTCCCCCTCTGTAAAAGTAAAAACAATAAAAATTTAAAGGGGCGGCTTTATCTGATTTTTTTTAATTATCTTCTTCACTTTTATCTCTCTGATTCGGCACCGACGCCGTGCCACTTCCTTCATCGTCATCTTCTTCCCTCTTCGTCTTCCGTCTCCTTCACCGGGAATAATTAAGGTCATTCTCATTTCCCTCCCATTCCTTTCTCTGCGTTGAGTGATTTTCCGACGGGTTGTTTGTTTCCAGGGGAAAAGAAAAGAACGGGAAATTCAAACTGTGTTGTGATTGTTTGTTGCGGGTTTTTTCTGGGTGTATCGGCTACGCTTAGCTCGGTTTCGTTGTCCGGTTGTATGCGCTGAATTGCAATTTAGGGTTCGTGTTTCTGGACCGAGTCGCCGTGGTGGATTTCATTTTCAAATTTCGCATTGATTCTTGTGACGGAGTGAGATTGATCCGAGCTGTGGAAATCAATGCACGTTTGACTTTGGAACTGAATTCTGGGTGCTAATCACGAAGATTATTGATCGCCTTCTAGTTTGGATTGGCGGAGTAATTTCCATCCCAATCGGGTCATGATACAAGTATCGCCAGCTTTTTCGTGCTTCATCGTTCTGTTTCTAGCTCGTAGTTATCTTGAATGAATTCTTGATGGGCCTTGGATGCTACTAGTTAATCACTGCTCATTTTTTTATGGATTAATCGCTGCTCATTACTAGTGTGTTTTTCGTGCAGCGAGTTTTTTTGGAGTACTTTATCTCGGGAAATTGGTGTTTCGTGGTTTGAACTGAATAGTCTATACGATCAGCTTCATCTCATTGTAAGGTTGACTTGAGGAACCCCTGCTGATGAAGTGTTCACACGGAAGTTGATAAATTGAGCTGTTCCAGTAGGGAGACTGTTTAGATTGCCTGATGGGTGTAAGCTATTTAGCGATTTCAGTAGGGTCTACTGCTTTGAGCTTTGTAGGTCTCCAGTATCAGGCAGAGCTTTCGTTGGATAAACTACGATCCAATGGGTTGATTGAGGAGGGTTCTGTTAACCTAGTAAATGCCAACGATGCCATGGGGTTGCTATTTGGTTCTTACGCCACCACCGCATTGCTGGCAAATTTTCTGTTCAACGTGTTTATTCTGGTCAACCTTTGCCTTAAGGTAAGCTTCGTTATCTGCCAACCCAGCATACAGCTATTAAAGTGGTTTAGTAATGTATGATTGGCTCGAGGGAGGCAGACTGGGTCATCTCTAATTTGTAGTGGAATCAGGCATGTAGAAGTAGCTAAAGCATGTACGAAACGTGCAATAATGGTTGTGCTGTGTTACTGCATTTAAATCCTACTAAATTAGCAAACAATATGTGATCTATAAGTTGAAGTTTATAGTTTTCTTCCGAGTGGTCTCTGCACTCATAGATAACGTAGTTGGTTCCACTTTCATCTTGTTTAGTGGAATGATTTCTAGTGAGTTTGACAAACTCTCAAGCCCATTTTCTTAGTGGCATTTACAAACATCAGTTGTAATTCTTATATGATCACTGATTGCCTTTTTGACAGCACTTACATTATGTGTATATGACATTTCAAGCCTTTCATATTATCCTTACTTGAATTTCTGTATGCCGCTATCCATGTGGCCTTAATATAAATACTACTTCAATCATCTAGTCACATCATGAGGCTAAATATAACAGCTTTCGGAAGTTGCTGGATGAACTTGATGACTCTGGTTGGTTAAAAAGGGAATGCAGCTCCTTTCCTTGTCCATGATGATTGAGTTTATGTTGTGGTATTGATTTTGCATTGCAGAGTATCTTCTTTGCGGACTTGTACCCTTCTGAAACTCGGAAACTTGTAGAACGTCTTGTAAACTATGTTATTTACAAGGTAAGCTTACATAATGATTTTTATTTGGTAATATTTTACCATGTGGATATGTTGCACTTTGAGTCCAGACTGTACTCCTAACTGGCAAGTATTTTTCTTTGTGTCACAAATCAAGGACAAGCCTTCCACCGCTCACTTCTCTTTTATGTGCTCGAGAAACACGAATAAGTGCTTATCTTATGATGTTTGGATTATGTTAGTTTTCATAAAGGGAAAAAGAGAATGTTGGTCAATTTGAAAAAGCTAGATATTCTGGTAGAATAATTCGATCTTAATTTATGTGGTGTTCATAATCTTTATATTTCTGTTGTTGCGTGCTTTTTTTATGAATAATTAACAGGGAACCTTTCTACCTCTAGTTATTCCACCCACTGTATTCCAAGTTGGGTTGTGGTTGATCTGGCTGACCATTATGTGTTCTTTGAAGGTAAAAGAAAAGTATTCTATATCAGACTGCTGTTTTAAGTTCATCATCCAAGTGTAGTTGCATATTTGAAATCTTTGATGTTTTTTTTTTTATGGTAGCAGATGTTTCAAGCTTTGGCTAGAGATCGGCTCGAACGGTTGAATGCCTCTCCTTCAGCTCAGCCGTGGACATACTTTCGTGTGTATTCAGCATTGTTGTTTGTTCTTTCTATTGACCTTTTCTGGTAATTATGCCCCCTTTCTGGAAAGAAATGCCACTGAAGTAAGGCTGTCCTAGCTCTTTGTCTCAATGACAACATGCTTACTTCGTCCTGGAGTATGTGCTTATACTAAGAAAGATAGGAATTGCTGAGCTGCAGAACAAACCCTTTCCCCATTGTTTTAATTTTTAATTTATGGTTTTAAACCATGAGTAGACTTTCATAAGCTAACATTTCAGAGCTAGCACGATTCTGCTTCAGTTGACTTACTTTAACCAGTAGAATTCTGTTTAGTTAGATATCTGGCATGTATAATAATGGGTGGTGAACTATTGTTAAGCTGAAAAGGATATGCTTGTTCTCCAAGATCTTGAATATCTAGAATATTTAGGTTGGAGTATTTTTGCTAGTTTGCCTATTGATCCCTGTTTTTCTGTGAGTTCTTTAGTTTGTCTTGATTTGCATCTGGATTGATTTTATTAAACCTTCTTTTGATGGTAACAGGATAAGGATATGCTTGGGGATTTATAAAACATTGGGTTCGCCCATGCTTCTGTTGCTATTCTTTGAACCCCTCAGCATTGCTTTTGAGACATTGCAAGTAATGTTCTGGAAAGTGCTTATTTAACTACCTAGTAATCCTGTTGCACATTTTAATTCATATGGAATGTCTTCTATGGATTGATGTGATTATCTCCTCTCTGTAGGCTATGTTAGTCCACGGATTTCAATTGCTCGACATTTATCTCCACCATTCTGCTGGTGACAGTGCTAACTGTCAAAGATTCAAGTTCTTTGATACCCTCAGAGCAGGTATACCTGTATGGATTTGGTTACCATCCAAGAGTTAATGTGTTTATTTGATTGATCTGAACTGCGACTGGCTGATTGCCATGTGCTCACTGACATTTGTAATTTGCTTGTTATGGGTGCACTTTCTAGTTCAGGTCTAAAACATGAGCTAAAACACTGACTAAACCTTAAGACGCATTAAATTTCTCAAAATCAATTTAGTAGTTCGGAGTCGTATTATTTCACAATGAAAATTAATATATTAGCAAGAATGAAATCCTTTCTACTAAGGAAGACTTTTTTCAAGAGGGGCAATTGGAATGTCTGCGGCTACCTAAAATGTTGATTTTCTTGATTCCTATACACGTAGCTGCATTACAATCTTTTGTATTGGATTGTCAATTCTGCTTTTTGACTGGGTAAGAAGCTCAACTGCAGGTTCATTGTGGGAGTGGAAAGGCACTCTTACACGAAATCTGGGTTTTACCCTAGATATGGCTACACTATTGATGGCACTTGGCCATTATGTGCACATATGGTGGCTCCATGGGGTGGCATTTCATCTTGTTGATGCAGTCTTGTTCCTAAATATAAGGGTAAAACTATGCAACTCCCTTCACATCAATGATTAGTATTTCTAACCATAAAAAAATATTAGTATTTTGGTTATCCTTTCCAATCTGCTCATTACTCAGTCGTGCATGGTATGGTGCAGGCCTTGTTAAGTGCTATCATAAAGCGTGTAAAAGGATTCATCAAACTGAGAATGGCTCTAGGAGCTCTGCATGCAGCACTTCCTGATGCAACATTAGAGGAGCTTCGAGCATACGAGGATGAATGTGCTATTTGTAGGGTATGCTTAAGCTATTATTCAATCAATGATGCATGCTACTTTAGATGATTCTGTGGTCTAAAGGGTTTGCAAATTGGATAAAATGTCACAGGAACCCATGGCAAAAGCAAAAGGTTACACTGCAGTCACCTTTTCCATCTTCCATGCTTGAGATCTTGGTAGGTTATTGGAGTTATCTAAATTCTAGTCTTTCTCTTGCATTGAGAAAGTCTTCAATTCTCACTGTGCAGTTTGCTGTGGTTCCAGGTTGGATCAAGGGTTAAATGACATGTACTCCTGCCCTACCTGTAGAAAACCGCTGTTTTTGGGTCGAACTGAAAATGAACCAAGTCCAAGAAATAGAGAAGTTTTAAGTGACGAGCAGCTCGCACGCCAGCTAAGTGAGCGCCTTGATCGACCAAACAATGCAGGGAACAACTTTCCTGCTGGACCATTCCCTAACCAAACTCAGAACCCTATGGAGGGAAGCACTTGGAGGTTTGGGTCATTGTTTCCCTCTTTTAAGTTGGCCCTAAAAGGATTTGAATCATCTTTGCGCCTCTAAGCTAATTCATCTTCTTTCTGTGTCTCCATAGAAGTGCAGGGCTTGATTCAGGTTGGTTGCCTCAATGGCCAAACCAGGGTTTAGATGGAGGAGCTGGCCCCTCGAATAATGCCACGAGATCAGTTGGATTGGGGAGAGTTCAGATGATGATGAGGCATCTTGCATCTGTGGGAGAGACCTATGCCCATACTGCCCTTGAAGATGCTGCTTGGAGCCTGTGGCCAATGAATCATCCTTCTCAGGGTATGGCATCTGGTTCAGCACTCATCCCACCAATTCCCACCGCTGCAGGAAGATACCCCAGTGGCGTTGCGGGTGGAGGTTTACACATTAGGACTCCCTCACGTCCTGTAAACGAAACATGGCTAACTTGCTTGCTATGGCCGAGACAGTACGTGAAGTTTTGCCTCACATTCCAGATGAGTTAATACTCGAGGTATGCAGCCAACATATAACTTGTCTACTCATACTTGAACATAGATCTCAACTGCGGAAGCGAGTAAATGAAAATGGTGCCTTTCTTTGCAGGACTTACAGCGAACAAACTCGGTTGCTGTTACTGTGAATAATCTTCTTCAAATGTGAGATCTAACGACAATGGCGTTTGGGGGGCGGAGCAATCTTCTGAGTGCAGAGTGAGCAATGAACCTATCCTCCTCCTTTTTGTAGTATTACTTACTGAGGCAAAGTGACAGGTTCGGGTATTCATCTGAGCTGAGGGTGGGAGAAAAAAGAAAGCTTTCAGTTTCTGATTACAACCACTTTTTCTTTTTGTTTCTTCAATTGCCTTCCTTCATATACCTAAATGCCTAGGGTGTATATAGGTCTTATGCATCTCAATTGAGAAGTGAGTTTGTGTCTGTTACTACATTGCTTCTATTGAAGAGGGAGCATGAAAATTATAAAGGAAAAGAAGTAATGGTGATTTGGGAGGCAATTATAAGCAACAGGGGAACACAACACAGGTTGCCCTTTGCTGACCCCCTCACTCACTGTCTCTTGGTATTTCGATACGATCCTATTCTGCTCTTTGGCTACATTTTGGGTTTTCCTTGCATCGCCATGGCGCGGTATGGCGTCTCTAAATGAAGTTGTATTGTGGAAACTCATAAACCAGTTGGAACTGGGGGCAACTGGTTCTGTTCTTCTTCTATAATCCCTTCTCTGCAAGATACGGTAATGGAATCCTGTTGCTTAATCTCTCTTTTCAATGAAAATGTAGAGGGATTCGCCTCCTTGGAATCTTTTTATGAGGAATCAGCTGTGGTAATCTGGAGCTAACTTGTTTGTGTCGACCTGTTTTGATGCGCATTATCGGTTTTGCAGGTGAGGATGGATCTTTGACGCAATGGTACCGCGTCTTGATTCCAGATTGTAAGGTTGTGTGCTTGATTCACGATAGGGTTCAACCCCCTGCCCATGCCATAATGGTCTCCTTTTCTTTATATAACAAAAAAATTAGCGTAGCCCTGATCGGCGCCAAACAAATTCCTTTCCCGTCAAATACGTAAAGCATGGATCCTAATCCATATTGGAATTGGACCCTAATTAACCAAACCCTTACCTCTATATAATCAAAACAAATCCACCGTGATGGCTTCCACATAAGTATTTCCCTGAAGATTTTTCCATAAGAAAGGCTGTGGTGACGGACGCCCCTTGGATCGACGGCCGCATCAATCCCAATTGCGTTGTGGTAGCCATTGTTGGAACCTTCTGTGAGGTATGGTCCTGTAGATTGGCAGATCTCGCCGTCGATGATGATCGCAACAAGAAGGAGAGGCTGATAAGTCGGCGGCGGCGGCGGAGTGGACTGCGGTGGACCACACGGCGGTATACTCCGACATTGTATACACAAGGGGGAAATCTACGCAACAGGAAGAGGTGTTGGAACGGCCAGATTTACCACATCCAAAATTACGATGTTAGAGATGATGATACGTCAACCAGGGGAAGGGGAAAGATGGTGTACGAGGGTTCGCCTAATCCAACGACAAGAAGTTATTTGGTGAGCTCCATATCAGGAGACCTTTTGATTGTGAGCGTAGCTACAAAGGTTCTCCCCTAACTATGTGACTGTTGGATTTGTTGTGAGAAAATTGGTGATCGTGGAGGAAGGGGAGGGACGAGTACGACATTTTCGTCAGTGTGAGCGGGTATACAACCTCAGGAAGATAAATCATTGTTTGTAGGTCAATGCTCCAGTTCATCCGTGTCGTTGGCCGCGAGCGGAACGACTTTATTGGGAGGTGGAAGAGGAATGTTGAGACCCAACTGTATTTACTTTACCGATGACAATCCAAGAGTGTTTTCGCATAACAAAGGAGGTCGTGATTTGGGCATTTTTAGTTTGGTGGACTCAACAATTACGTTATATCACTCTTATATCGAAGGAAATTTGCAATCTGAATCCTATCCGCACACATGGTATGTACAATGAAATGTGTACGTTTATCGTCTTCATGTGTTCTGGCGAATCTATGGGTGGCGAGAAATCAATGAGAGAAAACGATGAGGCAAGAAAGCAAGTTCCCAAGACAGCGAGAGTACTGTTTATTATAGTTTAATCATCTGTGAGCACACCACAACTAGAGTTATTCATGAAAGCTACTAATAATTGGAGGTAAAGATTGTAGTAGTATACACTAAATACTAGGCAAGTGATGCAAAAATCTCTCTTTCCCTTCATTTTCAGTGTTCTTTTTTCTCAATTGTCCAAAGTCCCTTTTTTTTCATGATCTATTCTAAAAATCTTCATTCTACTATATATGTCCTAGCCATGTCAAATTATGCCACAAATGAAACTTCTTCCGTTGTTTTCTTTTGTTTTTCACAAATTTGAAGCATTGGAAGGTTGTGACGATATTATCTGTAACGCTCTCCTAAGAATAAATGCATTTTGTTGCTCAATGATCACATCTGAAAAGTTTCTTTAAACCATTGGTAATAACTTTGGAAATCCTTAGTTAGTATGGTATGTTATTTTTGTTGATCAGTGTCGATTTTCCAATTTCAAGATCTGGCTATATTGGAATTTGATAGCCCTGGTTGCATAGTAAATTAAATATGAAATAATGTTGATCAGCCTATGTAATATGAAATTATAATGATAATCCAGATGTAATAGGGAGGATATATTTGGCCATAAATTTTAAGAATCGTTATTTGCCGCCCGCGTATTTACTATTTGCCGCCCATAATTTTATGAAAAAGTCTATTTTGCCCTTCAACACTTTAAAAACCTTACTGAATAGCCTATCCCGCCGCCGTCAGAACCGCTTGCCGGCTTTTGCAGCCGCCATGGAGAAACAATTCTGGGCATTCTGCCTTTCTTTTTTCGGCAACCATTAGCCTTTGCCTTTCTTTTTTACCCCACAATTCTGGGCAACGATTTGCCTTCCACTTTTTTATTATGCGACGATCTCTCCACCATCTTCATCCACTTTCCGTGCTCTCAATCTCCTCGTTCTTGCGTGGCGGTTGCGGCGAGGGAATCGCCATGGATCAAGACCTGGCCGGATCGGAATGAGATGGGTGGCCCGACTACGACAATTAGACAGGATGGGTGGTCGTCGCCGGAGAACGGACGGACGGAGACGCTGGGTCCGACGTCGGGTTTCGGACGGGGTCCGTCGTCGGGTTTCGGACGTGGTCCGACATTGGATATCGGACGGGGTCCGCTCTCCCGGGTCGGACGTGGTCCACGCCGGCGTCGGACCGGTGCATTGCGTACTATTCCGGCGTCGGTGTACGATTCCCTAATTATTTATTTAGTAAACAAATAATTGTAAAATACCATAATTATGATTTTAAATTTTAAATTATTAATTACATCTTATTTTCCTTATTTCACCCAAGATTTATGACGAATATTGAATTATTGATTTCCTCAATTAATCTAACGACAGACGTCTAATGAATATAAATATTGTATTACATATATATAAAATACCAAAATTTCCGTAAATAACCAATGTCTAATTGTATTTCCCTAACTAAATAATTGTATTTCTCTAATTACGAGCCGGAAAACTTCCTCCTCAATAACCAACATCTAATACTACTTCCCTAATTAACAATTGTATTTCTCCACCCTTCTTAATTAATTAAAGTAAGTTTAGGATTTTCTTAATTTCCGTGTTTGACCAGTAGGTGAATTTAACTGAATTGGAGCCATTTTAGCACTTCAATTACGCGAGAGAGGGTATCGCTACCAACCTCTTTCCTAATAAATAATAATAATATTATTAATATAATAATTATACCAATAATCCCCCAATCCATCTCACTTAACGGCAGAATCCTAAACCATTATCATTTAACATAATAATAAACAATAATATTAATCACTAATCTCTTCTAATTAACCCCCTCAAATTTCGTTATCTATTGGAAAAAAACCCCCTCAAATTTCACTTCTGTTTCGTTGGCGAAACTCGTGTGTTAACTGCGCACGGTTTTCAAGAAAAACACAAAACACACGTCAATCACAACCGTCAAATATCCGTCGCTGAAAGTCGGCGCCGTTGATTTGATCGATCGAACAGAAAACAAAGAAGATCGTCAAATATCCGCCGCCGGTGTCGGCGTCGTTGATTTGATCGATACACCCTTGACTTCTAATCAAACAACCGTTATTCGGTTCACCACCTCTCCAAACTACGTTCGAACGAGGGTGCGTGTTCGACGAATAACCAGAAAATCGAACCAGGAGTATTCTAAGTTAAATTACCTCTACTCCTATGGAGGTTCCTCTGGAGAGCTCCGCAACTACGACTACGATCTACGACTACTACGACTCTGCAAAGGAGATCCTTGACAGAGCGGTTCTACGAAACCTAGAGAGAAAAACTGATAATCTGCGACGATGCAGTTTGTGATTTGATTTTGCCGTCCATAACTTCTCTTTCTTCCCAATCTTTATACTTCGCGCTTCTTCTCGTCGCAGTAACTGCCTTCGCGCCTTTGTCTCCCACGTCTTCACTCCTGTCAACCGTGCAGGTAACTTCCTCCTTGTTGCGTAACTCCCACGAGTGCGAAACAGCTTTGCTACGCAGCAACTTGACAAAACGACATTGAGCCACCCTTGTAACTATCCACCTGGGTTCGATAATCCACCCCAACTCCTCAAGCCGAACTACATTCATCCTTGTTCATAAAACGGCGGCGTATCACAAACAACACCGCAACGCTGAGCTCCCAGCCTTGCAACATCGATGAACTCACAATATCAATGCCACTTTCGATGGTGATTCATGGCTTACACATTGACGTAGCTCTTAGTATCCCGGCCTCGTCGGATTCCCACCATTGATGCCCAACTTTATTGAATTCACGGTGTTGTTGAATTTCTCAACACTGAACTAAAGCTCATCAACGTAGCCGAGCTCGCAACCTTGTTTTGGGCAAAACAGCATCGCTTTCACGACACTGTTAAACTCTTGCAACATTGTCTTTGACTAAACAATGTCGTTTCGTTCCTAGTACCGCAGGGTTGTTTGTACCTTCCGCGGCGTCGTATTCAACTAACCGACACCGTCTAAAATAATTATAAAATACTAATTAATTAAAACAACCCTCATTGTTTTCTCGCCACCAAACTCTCACCCCTCGGCGTCGTTCTTAGTTAAACAACATCGTTTCCTTATTCCGTTGAGCTTTTGAGCTTCGCGATACTGTTCTAATTTTAACATTGTCGTTTTAACTGTTGCGGCATCGTTTGGCCTATCCGCGGTATCGTTTCTTTCTTCTTGCGGCATCGTTTTCAACTAAACGACACCGTCCTAAACAGCCATGACATATTAATTAATTAATCCGTCCATCACTAGCTATGGCCAACGCCATCACTAGCGCCACAACAACTCTGTTTGTTTTTCCCTTTTGCGACATTGTTTGTTATTTTAAACATTGTCGTTTGCTAGTCCGCGGTACCGTTGGGCTTACTCGCGGTACCGTTTTGAACTAAACGACACCGCCGATATAGCCAAAAAATATTAATCCATGGAAACACCGCAGTCGGCGCTCGCATTGGGCCGGGTGAATTTTGGTCACTTGCCCGTCGGTACCGCTTGCCAGGCTCTCGCGGCACCGTTTTTAAATCCGCGGTACCGTTTTTTCCTCCTCCAACAAGGAATAAAAATATTAATTAATTAAAAACAACACTCCTTCTCCAACAAGAAACCACACGCGCGACCCTTGTTTTTTATTTTCGGCAAGCGGTGCCGTTTCCAGTGCCGCGGTACCGTTTTAACTCTCCGCGGTGCCGGTGAGCTCCCTTGCGGTACCGTTTTAAATCCAACGATACCGTTTTTTAACCCGCGGTATCGAATTAAATGCCGTGACTAATTAATGCAGCATTTAATCCCGGCCAACTTAATTTTAGGTGTCAACAATGCCCCCACAATTTGGTTTATAAGTATTATGAACCAAATTGTTGACACAAACATAATTAGCCCAAAACCAACCAAACATTGAATTAACCTAAAGCCAATCCTCACAAAGATGATTTTATTGCCATGCATGGCAATTGACACCCTTTACCCCACGTCCATAAATCTGGCCAGTTGCATGGCTGTGCTACATCGTTAAAAGAAAAATGGACTTTTCAAAGGATCTATGTTGCCCTGACATAAGTAGCAACCACGCCTGGCAACGTTACGTTTGTGCCCATGGGAGCTCGCAATGGAGGAAAAGGGCAAACCTGCAATACGTCACTTAGCCTGTCGGCTTTCAACGCCGCAACAGCGTGCCAGCCTACAGCCGACCGCCATAATCATGCCTCACTCACAGCCGTTCAGTGGCCAAATGACGGCGTTTTTGCCTGTTTCCATGCGTAACATTGTTGCATTTGGCCTGCAATGCTGTTAAGGCCATTCCAGTGACACTTTATTCAGTGTTGTTTTGGCCAAAACGGCAGCGCTTTAATGTTTTTTTCTTACGTGTTTCGCAACACTTCGGCTAACTATTGCTCGCAACGCTGCGGCAAACTTTACCAAAACGCAACGGATTTGTCTCCACTCCGCACCGCTGCGAAGAGCAAAACAACCTTGCATTCTTCCTTATCAATTTCTTTGAATAATATTAATGTATATTCTTCTCAGCCAAATTGGATTCGCGACCAACTCAAGGACTTCCAAGTTCCAACCCTCAACACTCACTTCCTTCTTTTGTACTTTCCTTCTCCAATGTTGCAGAGGACAATTTAGTTTTAACCCCACCACAATGGCGGCCTAAAACCAATTCCCACCACAACGTAGTCGCTGCTTCAGCGGCGGTGCAACACTAACGATTTTTATTTAAAAATATTTCATACCATTGTGGGCGCTCCATCTCGCAGCGCTGTTTGTCATCTAAACAGCGGCGTTTCACCCCAACAAGGAACAAGAAAAGATTTATAATGTCTCTATTCACTTATTCCCCATTTAATTTTAGTAGCCTACATGGCCTTTCCCACGAGATCGCTTTCTCGCGCCGCGTTGCGAGCAAAGGAAACAACTTCATTGGAGTTATACCCGCCATCATGCCTCAGCTAACTCGTTCCCGATCCACAGCGTTTTGAAAAATCAATTAGTGTTGTCATCGCTCAAACCCACACTGTTGTTTGCCCAAACAACTTCGTTTTGTCAAAAATTTTCTTTTGGCGCGCAAGCGAACTTCTTCTCGCTAGACAATATTGTTTCTATACAAAACAAAGCTGCGGAAACATATACCACTGGTACATGGCGAGAGTGGCATTACCTAACACCAAACCAGTTTGGTAAAGCATGTCTATGTACGTACAAGCCAGTCTTGCTAGCTACCCGACAAATAATACCTTTTCTTTTCTCAACAAGGAAGAAACAACATTCCTTCTCCAACATCGAGCAGTATACCCGCAGCACACCCTAACCACGGTATTGATGTTGTTTAAATTTACCCATGGCCAACGCGTATGTTCCTTGGGCTGTACAAATTCCAAACTCAATTTGTGATACTGTTGAGCCAAATATTAACGCTTTAAACATGAGAACCTCCTTGCCATTAATTAGAAACTCACCACCCCCACGCTTCAACGACAACGGCTAGGGGAATAATCATATTTGGCTAATCTGGAACCCTTTTATCAAACAACTCTCGTGCCCTTGAAATGCCAGCCCTGCAACTATGCGGCCATGCCTTCTCCCACAATGAAAAGAGTACCAGGCTATCCTTTTCCTTACAAGCTTAATATTCCTAATCAAGGCCCGATGATCCTATAAATAGACAGACATGCCCACTCCATAACTCGTTCCCAACCTTGCCGACCCGCGGCAATACTCACCAACCCACCACCCTCTTCTGCTTCGAGCATACAAAATCCAGCCGGCCATCATCCACCCCTGCACCGACATGGCTCCCGGCGGCCGCACTCCTCCCCAAAAACAGTACTTGAATTTCTCATTCTCTCTTCGTTACTCGCTAATTACACGGCAACATTAGATATATATATGTAGCTAGTACATACGCACCAAGCAAGCTTTCGGGAGGATAAATACATGCATATATATGTTCTTGCTTCATTGTTTAGTTTTGGCACGTATATTGTTTATGCAATTATGATCTTGTGAATAAAAGACAACGTACCTGCTCTTGGTAGATTCACGCTTTCTATGCTGTCGCTACTTGCGTGTGACTGGGGAGTTATCCCTCCGATCATGAGAATGACTAAAGATACCTGGCTCTTTTCTTGGCAGGCCACCACCGCCCGACCTCGCGGCTCATATATGCAAC